CCTTGAATTGTTCGCCGCCCTGAGTCCTCCCGGAGAAGGGCGGCATACAAATAATAAAATACAAATACAAATAATTCTAATATCTATCTAATCCTAATGTCTAAAGGGCTGCCTCAAAGAAGAGGAGGTCAAACCTATTCTCCAAAGCACCTAAAGACAGAACAAAAGGCAATGGGTGGAAACTAATCAAGGAGAGAAGCAACCTAGAACCAAGGAGAAATTTCCTGACAGTGAGAACAATTAATCAGTGGAACAACTTGCCTCCAGAAGTTGTGGGTGCTCCACCATTGGAGGATTTTTAAGAAGAGATTGGATAACCTTGAGCAGGGGGTTGCAGTAGAAGATCTCCAAGGACCATTCCAATTCTGGTATTCTCTTATTCTGATAAGTAGTATCCTTCCCCTGCCATGCCCACAAAGCACACCCACAGAACCGGTAGTAAAAAAAATTGAATCTCACCACTGGACAAGGCGATTTCTTGTGTTAAACCCACAAACTCACACTTATTTAATTGGGCTGCGATCATTACAATGGGTGTAGTGTGTGCTAGTTGATATGCCTGATCTGGATTAGAAAGATCCAATTTCAGATTCCTATTCACATATATGAATGCATAAAGGTGGCATGTTCTATTAATATTGTTTGTTCTAAAAAGCATGGATACATGAGGATGTACATTATGCAAACACCTGTGCAGATGTATGCATGTGTGGGTGCATCCCTAGTAGACTGCCCATCAGGTCTACTATGGACAAAATATATGCATAATCCTGGTAATTGCATGAAAACTGCTAATATTGCGTTTTAACAATTGCACTCTCAATGAACATTTGAAGGCTCCCATTTCCATTCAGTTTCTACTCCACACTTGTTCTCATTCCCTGTACACCCCCACTGGGTTGTCATTCATCAACATTTCTTGGGCATGTTTTGGGTGGTAGATATTCCTTCCACTTTGGGAAATACTGTTTTAAAGGCACAAACATCTGTGCTGCTTGCTTTACCCAGAATGTAGATACGTATCTTCAGGTTCACTACACAGCATTTCTATTGCAACTTTAAATTCATTTCATTTCATTATCTGAACTGCTTCAGCACCCTGGCCTGGATCCGGGAAATGCTAAGCCTGCAGAGAAACTCATTTGCTCCTGCTGAGGCAAGAGTTCCCATTAGAGAAGACAATAGCAAAGTTTTCTTTGCTTAGCATATTGGCAAGTGCTTAGGCGGGTGGCCTCCATCGGATCTCTACTGCAAAAGAGGAAGCTGTTAAATAATTTCTTTGTACCATTCCTTTCGTTTGTTGTAGTCACTGGAACAAGGTAGGAACTTCGAAAGGGAGTTTTGTTGTGTTTGTGTATAACCCCACACAAAGGTTACCTTTCAAAATTATCTGATAGATTAGATGACAGAGATAGATAGATGGTAGATGACAGATGATAGATGGATGGATGGATGGATGGATGGATGGACAGATATGATGGATGGATGGATAGATAGATAGATAGATAGATAGATAGATAGATAGATAGATAGATAGATAGATAGATAGATATGATGGATGAAGAGAGAGAGAGAGAGAAAGAGAGAGAGAGATTCCTTTGTTAAATAAGATCATTGAAAAAACCTATGACTGAACCTCACACTTAGGTCCACTGCAGCCTCCCCACAGTCATGTAATCAAAATGTGTGCGCTTGGCAACCATTTTTGATGACTGTAGTGCACTGGAATCACATGTGATGGACTGACTGTTTTCTAAAACAAAGCAAGGTTATGGGCATACACTTGAAAGGAGACCAGGAAGCCTGTAATTTTAGAGACTGCCTGGGAAGAACAAAGAAAGCTTATTCACAGGGAATATGCACATGTAAACCTCGTAACAATTCTGGCTGGTTAGAAAGCTGATAAAAGCAACGAACAGTTAGTCATCTTGCAGACCTCAGCTAGAAGTTAGGAATAGAAACAGCTTGGAGCAAATAGAATGTATATTAGATAACTCCTGAAGCATTCATTAACCAAGGCTTAGGAATAGGGAAAAGTAGAGATAAATAGAATAATTGTTAGATCATTCCTAAAATGTTTATTAGATGATATTTCTTATGTATCCCGCCTTATCTTACCTTCTGCTTTACTGAAAATGTATAAAACTTTCTTAATTCTCTTGATCAGGGCTCTTAGTATTTTGGGCAGGACCCCTTTTCTTGAAACTCTTCAATAAAAAGAAACCAAAATCTACACCTCTTGTCATTGGCTTCGGCATCCGGCTCAGATCTGAACTGGGTACAACATGTGACTGCCATTTTGGTCTACTGACTTTGGTAGTTTTGGTCTACTGGGAGCCAATTTGGTCTAATGGTTGAGGCTCCAGGCTAGAAACTGGAAATTGTGAGTTGCTGTTCAACGTTAGGCTGGGTGACTTTGGGCCAGTTATTGAAGTGGGAGAGAAATAGGCTGAGAAAGGGATACTGTATTATATAAGTTTGTTGCCTTGAGTTACTTATAAAGTAATAAAGGTGGGATAAAAATCCAATTAAAAAAATTGCAATCTTCTCAGGCAACTTTTGACAAGTGAAGTCAAGGGGGGAAGCCAGTTCAACTTAATGATTGTGTGATTCATTTAGCAACTGCAGTGATTCACTTAACAACTATGGCATACAAAACTGTGCCCAAGACATATAACAATTGCCCTACCTTACAATGGAAATTCTNTTACGACGTCCTAGGCCCCTGGGTGGGGCCCGACTGGTAATCAATGCCAAATCCAGCGAAACAATTGGCCGCTGTGATACAATTCTGTTGTTGCGATAATAATAATAATAATAATAATAATATAACATTAAAGTATTACTGCTATTGTGTTTCATGTTTAATAAATAAGAGATGATAATAATAATTAATAGCAGTATATACGTTCATGTTTGTGTTCTTGATTTAGTAAGATTTAGAAACTAAAGATTTATTTTTATAACTTAGAATTAATATATCTGAATATTTATAAAAATGTTAAAAAAAACATTTCAATTCCACAAGATGGCAGTCTCAATTAGCTTCTGAAGGATTTATAAAACTAAAAATCTCCTCTAAAATAAATAAAGTTATTTAAGACAGATTGATTCAATCAAAAGCAAGGTGATTAACTTTATGAATTAATTCAAATTGTATTAACAATATAAACTAATGATTTGAATTTAAAATGATGGTACATCTATTATAATCAACTCTTTTACTAGCTATGAAATTAGCCCTAAAACTTTTTTTCTGCATATATTCTACTTCAGTGATTGTTCAATTTTAAGATGCAACAATCAATACTTTATTTTATATAAATAATGTCATATATTATTTGCAGGTAGTCTTTGTTTAACCAAGACAATGGGTCTGCCAGGACTGATGTCACTAAGGAATACAGTCACATAATGTACACCTTACAACCACATCACTTAGAAATTCAAGTCCAATTACCATCATTAAGCAAAGACTACTCATAACCCCTTCCAAACATCATTAAAACCAATTTGTGACCCACTTTTTTCCCCTTGACAGCTATAAATCCAATGCATGCTAAAACAATCAAAATTCTACAAAGCACTCTAAATGTAATTTATAAAGAAAAAGCATCTAGACTTATATCTGCATCTTGAAAAGATCACAAACTGAAATCTAAGAATGAAATATAACAAAAAGAAAAAAGTACTAGAGTAATCAAAATTAAACCATAAATGTGTTTTGCCAACACATTTTGATGGAAGTAGATTCATAAAAATCTCATGTATGAAGTTTCTATCTGTCTTTCAAATTTAAATAGCTTTATTCTACTTGATTTAACAATTCACAAAGAATGGTAGAATATGGTTTGCAGAGGAACAGACAGTAACAGGAAGATCCCTTGAGGCTCCCTGAATCTGTTTTAAAATAGAATTATAGGAATTAAGAATTATTTTATAGTCATTCAGAACTACCGTAACATAGAACACAAAAGAGTATATTTTTAACATGTCTACTTTTTCATTTATATATGAATGTACAGTAGCATCCAATTCTCCTTTGATCCTAATTTCAGTTTTCAAACTTGTAAATTTACTGTCCATCTGTTTATAAAATAACTACAATTACCATGAATTTAAAATATGTGATTTGACCTATCTGAGATAACAATACATCAGAATTTTATAGCTGTATATATCTAATCAGAGCTTGGACCAGAGCGATTATCCCCTTCTTCTCTATCCAACCATTGTAAAAAGTACATCTAGCTTTTTTCCCTCTTTATAAACTTGAATGGAGTTATTGGTTGAAGGGGAATAACCATTTATGAGGTATATTATTAACATAATGCTGCATCCATGTTATTTAAGGCAAGATGAAAGAGTTCACTCACCCTTCACCTATCCATCTAGAGAGGAGGAATGGAGGAAAGAAAGGTAACCAATTATGGAGACATTTATATTGGAAGTCTTGAACTAAGTTATATGTAGCTATCATCAAGAATATTAAAAGAATAGACAATGTGGGTGACTTTGAGCCAGTGATCTCCTCTTAGCTCAACTCACCTCACAAGGCTGTTCTGGGGAAAATAGGAGGAGGAAAGAGTATTAGGTGTAATTATCTCCTTAAGTTATTCATAAAAATAATGAAAGTGCAATAAATCATTAAAAATAAATACTTTATTTGATAATTAAATAAGCTGAAATAGATGATAGAGAATTATTTCCACAACAGAATTAAAAAGTATGCAAGTAATGGTTCCACCACAAATGCGCAAACGACAAAAGCGCGCCTGACTAAACCGCAGTGACAAAACCGCGCCGACAAAACCGCGCCAACGAATGAGCGCTGAAGCGCGCCGACAACAGCGCACCGACAGAAGCGCGCTGTAACCCTAACCCTAAACCAAACCCTAAACCTAACCCTAAACCTNATAGGCATGCCCCTTTTTTGACAAAAAACAGACCCATTTTCGCAAAACAAAGGGACGTTATTTGCTCATTTTTGCCCCCCCCAGCCCCCAGAGCACACCACAAGCCTGCTAAATGCTACGCATGCCTATTTTGTTTTGACAAAAAACAGGCCCGTTTTCACAAAAAATGTGCCGCTTTTGGGAGATTTGCAGAGTGCAAACACTTAAAAAAAAAAAAAAACACCTCTTCAAAATCTTGGTGCATCTTATACTCTGAAAAATATGGTAGAGCTACAAATGGCATAAATATGTGGAGAAAGGGAATGGCAAAAAAAAAAAACATGGTTGCAAGACCTAGGGATCAAGCTACTAACATTCCCTTCATGCTACTTGTCTATACTTTAAAATCTGCAAAGGTCCTCCTCATATAGCTGCCTGAATTAGACTGGTGGACACAGAAATTAAAGTCTTTTCTGCAGTGGCTAAGCTTTCATTAGATGAAGCTTACTGTTACCGCTATTTTTATATGGGATACTTTTTAAAAACACATAAGTGTGTTCCAAATATTTTTTTAAAGTAGAAAACAACTGGACAAATGAAACATTGAGTGACATTAAATCTGGAAAAAAATGTATCTTCTTGGCATGATTGTGTTGTATTTCTTTGGTTCCAACTTCCTGAAGTCACTGAAGTACATATGGAACAGCGGTGGGTTCCTGCCAGTTCTAACCTACAGTGCCGTTTAGAACCGGTTCCAGCTCCCTCTCCCTGCCCATCCCACATCATTAAGATCAAGAGCAAGAGGAGGAATTCTGGGAGTTGAAGTCCACAAGTCTTAAAGCTGTTAAGGGTTTTTTTTTTCTAAAGGGTTAGGGGTGCAAGGGTCTTGTAACTTGACAGCTTTAAGACTTGCATGCTTCAAATGCTAGAGTTTCTGAGCCAATGTTTTGGTTGCTAAGCAAGAGCATTGTTAAGTGAGTTTCACCACATTTTACAAGTTGGCCATGCCCACCCAGTCACATGGCCGGCAAGCCATTCCCACCCGGTCATATGGCCAGCAAGCCACTCCCACAAAGCAGGCCACACCCACAGAAGAGGTTCTAAAAAAAATTGAAACCCACCACTGATATGGAAGCAACATACATTTCACAGCCTCTTTTATGCGTTATGTTTATAAGGATTCTGGATTACCTTTTTCATTGCAGCAGCAACGAGTTGGGCAGCAGGCACATCGCACATGGCAGCAGCAATGCTGTGGGCAGCACTGACACCAGCATATTCCAATTACCATGAAAAGGAGGAGGGCACCAAGGATGATGAAGAGTACTGTAAGCCAATCTGCATCAAGTAAAAGCCCCCCCCCCCCGAAAAATTATTAATCAGTATTCATTGTTTTTTCCATTCCTAGGTACCTCTCTCACAGTCTGAGAGAAAATGTTCCCAATTTTTCCTGATGTTATTTTTCATATCAAGTACTTAAATTCAGACAGAATGATTCAAATCTCAGTTCATCCACATCTTTCTGTGTGGTTGTAAAGAAAAGAATGAAACCGATTCCTCTCTTCTTCAATTATACACAGTTTAATATTATTAAAATCAGTTAGTTTGATAAGTTTCCATGAAAATATCCTGAACCATTATTTATTATGATAATTTACTGCCACTAATATGATTTTAAAATATTTCCTTCCTGGGTTAATTAGATAATTCAGCCCTGTCATTATATTTTCTATAGTAAGGCCTTGTTATAAGTAATGCTCATAGAAGAGCCAGATGATATTGTTCCGAAGTATCCAAGCAGCAATATACATTTGCATTAATCCACTAAAACAAAAGTTGAAATCATGGACAGACATGGAGAATCATAAGAATGCAGTAGCAGTTAATACCACATGAGCTAAGCCCTGCCAAATAAGCCAACATTAGAAACTTAAAGTAACCATAGACCTCTGAACATCCAGGAATAATCAGTAAGACAGCGCCCAAAGATAAGCTGCTGAGAAAGTGCCTGAAGTAATAGCAGACATGGGAGGAAGATCAAGCAGAAGAAGTGCCATGGCATGGGCTGTTATCATTGACAGATAGCTGAGACGATTGACATTAGGAAATCCTACTAATGGCTGGACTAAAAGATGGCACTAATCATAGCAACTCCAAACAGACACTAAGCCTCAGATTCTGTAGCAGCTAGGGTCTTCCAAACTAGTTGGCATTGTATGTAGGAACATCTGCACATTTATGGGTTAGAATATCTCAACTCCAGATGTGAGATTCCACAGAAAGGTTAAAATCCTGTGGAGTATTGGTGCACAGGATCCATGGAGTATTGGTCAGTACCAACCTTAGTACCAACCAATTAATCAGACATTATGATAATAGACAAGGACCAGAAGACAGCAGTGATGATATATGTAGCAGTGCCAAGTGACAGAAACATAAGGAAAGCGTATGAGAAGCTGGAGAAGTACAAGTCCTGAAGGAGCAACAAAGAGAGGGTGTGGAACGTAAATGCCAAAGTTATCTCAATGGTGCAAGGCAGTGGTGAGTTCCGGATCCCGTTGCAACCAGTATGGTTGCAACAGGGCCCGTTGTCCTCCACATGAAGGAGTGTGGCGCGTGCGCACGCACGCACGCACGCAGCACACACATGCGTCTTACCATCCAGCGATGCCATGACGCTCCAGCTGCTCGGCGGAGCGTTATGCAGGCGCTGTACACGCCATGCGCATGCACGGAGTGTGGGCGGGCAGGCCCTCCGGAGCACCGTACCAGAACAGTACCCGGTGTTCCGGGCAGGCTCCAGTACATCCGTACCAGGATGTACTTCCTGCAACTCACACTGGTGCAAGGAACACTTGGAACAGTGCTCCTAGACGGGGAGACTGGCTTGAACAGATCCCAGAAACAACACCAGAGCTGTTTGTCCAGAAGAGTACAGTGTTAAGTACAACTAAGAACCCTCAAACTCCCAGACCTCTGGTAGAAAATCTAAGACACATGCCACCCAAAATGATGCTACATACTCAAAACAATGAGCTTGACTTCTTTGTCTGGATCACCAGTTGTGTCTCCTGGAGCTTCAACGGTACAATAATAGACTCCATTGTCCCACCACATCACCTCGTTAATTACAAGATCTGCTCCTATAAAATGGAAAACAACATAATGAAGCCCCACCAATGTTGGTTTCAGATAATGATCTAAATTTCTGAATAACAAAATAATTATTTTCAACTATAAAAAGTCAACAACTGTAACCCTGAGCAGTGCCCAGGCACCAGTGTAATTGGAGTCTTATATTACACTCTGCTAAATTGCATTAATGGAGACAAAGAAAAGAATCCTAAGGGAAATTGATTGTACAATGGACATAAAATGATGCTGAATAATTCTAAGCTGCATAAATACTGATCAGTAAATTCTTACTGGTAACAATCTTTTAAAGATCATATTTTAATCCAATGCCCTTCAAATTAGAAATTCAAATGCTACCATAAATATGATGGCGAACCTATGGCACGCGTGTCAGAAATGGCACATAGAGCTATCTCTCCGGGCATGCAAGCTGTTGCCCGTTGCTGTTCCTGGTTTTGGTGTGATGGCCAGCTGGTCTTAACACGCTCAGGAGCACCAAAACCGGAAGAGCAGCTGCCCGGTGCGCATGCCGAGAAAGTGATCTTCTGGTTTCTGGCACGTGCATGCGCACCAGCCAGCTGGGCTTTGTGTGCTCATGCGTGCCAGAAACCGGAAGACCAGCTGGCCGGTGCTCATGCACCTGGTCTTCCAGGTTCTGGTACGCATGCCCGCGCAAACACCAGGTGGCCGGTGCACATGTGTGTGCTATAATCTGGAATACGATGTTCCCGATGTGCGCTTGCGCACCGAGTAGCTACTCTTCCGGTTTCTGGCACATGTGCATACACACATTCCCATTTTAGCACTTGGTGCCAAAAAGGTTTGCCAACACTGGTATATATCATAGTATGATGACAGAATTAAATGAGGATTGTATAAAGCATTAGAAAGGAGGAGTGCATACTGTACTACATAATGATACATAATTTATTAGATTATATTGAAAGGGATTTTTGAGGCTGCTAATATATCCAAAGATCACTTACTATTCTGAATTGTGATCCTTCGCTGCCTGTAATCAACACCCAATACTGGTTCATTTTGACCTCTTTTCTGAGCAACAATGCGCACTTCCCGTTGGTTGTCATTGCAGTCATTGGAAGGATCCTGGCCAAGATCTAGGCTTGCCTGATAGGCTGTAAATAAAATGTCAAATTGTTTATACTATTTCGGGAACCAATGTCCCCACTCTCATTGCACTTTTGTATAAATTCCTTTAATAGTGGAAGCAGTAGAAAAAAATAGGATTATATTAAGTAACAAAACTTTTTGAAGAAGTTCTTTATGTTCTTTAGGGATTCTTCAGTTTTGATTTTTAGGTTTGATTGCAGCAAGTTCTAATATTTACAAGAGATTTAGAAAAACGACAAACTACCATATTTTTCAGAATATAAGACGCACCGGAGTATAAGACGCACCAAGGTTTTGAAGAGGAATTTTTTTTTTTAAAGTAGGTAGGTAGAGGGATAGAGAGGGAGAGAAAGAGAGAGAAATAGAGTAGGTAGGTAGGGAGAGAGATAGAGTAGTTAGGTAAGTAAGTAGATAGAGAGGTAGAGAGAGAGAAAGAGAGAGAGAGAAATAACAGTAGGTAGGTAGGGAGGGAGAGAGAGTGTGTAGGTAGGTAGGTAAATAGAGGGATAGAGAGAGAGAAATAGAAAGAAATTGACAGATAAATACAGTTGATAGCTAGGGAGAGAGAGAGTAATTAGGTAGAGGGATATAGAGAAAGAGAGAGAAATACAGTAGGTAGGGAGGGAGAGAGAGAGAGGGTAGGTAGGTAGGTAGATGTTTCCAGGTGTATTTATCCATGTGCTGGAGAAGGAAATCGTTGACAATCTGCAGCACCTAAGACTTTGTTTCTGCTGGCACAGCATTTGATCAATGTAATTCTCATCAATCAGTTAAAGAGCTTTCCAAAAGGGGGGGAAAAAGTTTTTGCACTCTGCAA